GGAATAAGTGTTTGTTAGAGGTGGCCCAGAAAATTCAAAACAATTTGAAAATGTAGCTTTAAGTGCAAATACTATTGCCCGCCGTGTTGCAGACAATGGTGAAAACATCGTGACTCAAATAGCGTAAAATGCAAGCAAGTTTCGCAATTTTTCAATTGCAATGGATTATTCCCTGGACAACTGTTCCACCTCAACTTCTTGTGTTCATTAGAGGTGTGGATGAAGACATAAACATAACAAAAGAGCTGGCTTCCCTACATAGAATGTATTGCACTGTTACCGTATAAGATATCTAACCATACAAGATACAAACACAAAATCGCAAGATGTCTCATATTTCACAGCAGTAAGATGGCTGAGTTCCCCACGTCATTTGCATGCGAGATTATCAAAGACGTCCAGCTGCAGTTTCAGTAGCGGTCTTCTGACATGGATTCAAAGGCAAAAGAAGTGAAACTGTTCCAAAACCCATTTGAAGCAAATGTAGCCAGATGCAAAGATAAACTGCATCTGGAGGTCATAAGAGACACGTTCACATGAGAGTGGGTGGGTTTTTTAAAAGTTTTGCACAAGAAAGACTTTCATAGTATTAAAACTTTTGCATCAAAGTATATTTACAATTTGGAACAAGATACCTGTGAACAAACATTTTCAAGAATGAAATACGTGAAGAATAATTTGAGAGCAAACTTGGGACTCGAGTGTGTTGTTGGCCCCGACAGTGTTTCTTTCAGAGTTTTTTTCTCCGGGGGGGGGGGACGACGACACTTGAAATTTATATATTTCTATGTAAATGATATTTCGATTGGGGGGGGGGGGTACCACCTGTCCAAGGAGATGTCCTGAAGAAACTCTGGTCCTCGAACTGATATTTGATAGTTAATGCGGCCCTCGGGCTGAAAAGTTTGGAGACCCCTGTCGTAGAGCTATATAATATCAGGATCGCGTACGTTAGGAAGGTTTTCTATAATACATATATGTAACGAAGTATAAAAGTGCCAAATATCTATATCAGACAAGGTTGCAAAGTATTTCATCATATAGCTTGTATACTTCCCATCAATTGTTCCCTTACAAATCTTATCTGCCTCACTTCAACATATTACAACGTCTTACTCTCTAACTTACTAATGGAATATATATATATATATATATATATATATATATATATATATATATATATATATATATATATATATATATATATATATCGATGGTCTCGGTCACAAACCGTCTAACTCAAAAAAATTCGATTTTCTTTTTTTTACATAAATCAAAAGCCAATATGATTCCCCATAATGCCTGAAAATATTAGAGAAATCTGTAGAATGATTATTGAGATATAATCATTTGAACAAACCGTCTATTATTTCTAGCGCTGAAAATCTCGGAGCAAAACGAATATCGCTATATTTGTCAGTATACTTTTGATCGGGAACGTAGTCGCACGCCGTAATCACACAATTTTACAGCACAGCAGTCACAGTACTTATAGGTAAGGACATTTGATTAATTATGTTTAGCTATTCAATTTCATTTTATCATTTTAAAGAATAATAAACAAATAATATTTGTTTAATATAGCCTATTTCCAGATTTTCAATAACAAAACGGATTTGTTTATAATTTTTTTTTGGCTAACACAATGCTTTGAAACTAGCTCTTCATTCTAGAATCTAAATATCAATCAAAACAATATTATTCGAATTAATTTCCACAAGAATGTGCAATAAATTTAATTATTGTTAATTCACTACTAGTTTTAGATTGAGGGTTTAGATACGTGTTAAGAAATGTTTCTAATTGTTTGTTACAAAATGTTTGGCGTACATGTTAAACGACATGGTTAGTTGTCTTTAGTAAATGCTTTTATGATTAATTTTTCAACAGACCAGCCTCTCTCAACATACCAGCCTCTCTCAACATACCAGCCTCTCTCAGCATACCAGCCTCTCACAACAGACCAGTCTTACCACATAACAGACCAGCCTCTCTCAACAGACCAGCCTGTCTAAACAGACCAGACTTACCACATAACAGACCAGCCTCTCTCAACAGACCAGACTCTCTCAACAGATTAGGCTCTCTCAACAGACCAGCCTCTCTCGACAGACCAGCCTCTCTCAACAGACCAGCCTCTCTCAACAGACCAGCCTCTCTCAACAGACCAGCCTCTCTCGACATACCAGCCTCTCTCAACAGATTAGGCTCTCTCAAAAGACTAGCCTCTCTCAACATATCAGCCTCTATCAACAGACCAGCCTCTCTCAACAGACCAGCCTCTCTCAAAAGACCAGCCTCTCTCAACATACCAGCCTCTCTCAACAGATTAGCCTCTCTCAAAAGACTAGCCTCTCTCAACATATCAGCCTCTCTCAAGAGACCAGCTTCTCTAAACAGACCCGCCTCTCCCAACAGACCCGCCGCTTTCAACAGACCAGCCTCTCTCAACATACCAGCCTCTCTCAACAGACCAGTCTCTCTCAACAGACCAGCCTCTCTTAACATACCAGCCTCTCTCAACAGACCAGCCTCTCAACATATCCGTCTCTCTCAACAGACCAGTCTTACCATACAAGACACCAGCATCTCTCAACAAACCCGCCTTTCACAACAGACCATTCGTAACATACAAAAGACCAAACTCTCTTAAATGCTCAATCTTACCATATAGGACACCAGAATATATCAACAAACTTGTCTAACTCTTTAAGACACCAGTAACTCACAAGAGACCAATCTCTCTCAGCAGACCAGTCGTAATATACAAAAGACCAATCTATCTCAACTGACCAATCTTACCCTCCCAGATACCAGCCTCTATCAACAGCCCATTCTTACCATACAAGAGACCAGCCTCTATCTAGAGATTAGTCTTATCCTACAATAGACAAGCCTCTCTCAACACACCAGTCTTACCATACAATACACCAGCCTTTTTTAACAGATCAGTCGTAACATACAATAGACCAGCTTCACATAACAGACATTAGACACCAACCTCTTTCAAAAAGACGAGCCTTACCATACAAGAGACCAGCCGATCTCAAAAGACCAGTCAGACCTATCAGATATTCGTGCACTGCCATGCAAGCCTGATGCTACTGTCTACTTCAAAGTGAATTAGTAGATAGCTGGCAATTGCTAAACTAGGGTCGTAAGATTATGATCTCATCTGTAGCCCCTGTCAAGTTGTACAAGAGCAGAAAAAAAGATAAAAGCTGTCATATTTGAGCACCTAAAAGCAAGTAATAAACACAACTATTTATGATGATTTCCCTGATTTTAAAAATATGTTTCCATTGTGATGTTTCAAACATTTAACAAGTCTAGTGCTAAATACAGACATAATGAATACAGTCGAAAGCGATAAAGCCATACTAAAACATCTCTACTAAAAATTAAACTGACCCCATAATGTAGAATAAACTCAAATAATTAAAATATGAGCCCAAAACTATAATCTAAATATTATGAAGTGTTAATTATAACTTAAAAACATAAACATAACTAAATCACGTTCATTGAACAAAACGAACGAACTCGGATGAAACCAAAATTCTCGGCTCAAAACAGCTAAGTCTGCGCGCGCACAGATAGACGGTTTGCACCGAGAATTTTAGACCGAGCAAACCGTCTATCTTTTTAAACCTGCTATAATTTTGTAAATATTAAAAAAACTCATTTTAAAACACTACAGTATAGTCGGTAGAGAGTTTCTTCGGAGATATCATTAAAAAAATGTGTATTAGAGCGATCGAGAAGGAAATAATCAGTTTTTTGTCTCTCCTGTAAAATTTACATTCTCAGAGTTAAACGGTTTGCGACCGAGACCATCGATATATAGGCCTATATAAAGCAAGGTATATTTGTTTGTTTATTTGTCTTCTATGCATTACTAGACCTTTCAACCGATCGCCATGAAACTTTGGGAAGTTGTAAAGAATATGCAATGAAAGTTTCTGCAAATAAAATAATTCAAATTTGCAGGGATGGCGTCCCGGTAGGGCGCAGTTTATTTTTTTTTTCTATGAGCGCTATATAAAAAATAATGGTTAAACGCGATTCCTCGCCGTTCACCCGATCGCCATTAAACTTTTCTTATATATATATATATATATATATATATATATATATATATATATATATATATATATATATATATATATATATACATATATATATATACATTTCAATCAAGTGTGTTCCCTTGGGGATACGCTGGATGAAAAACGGATTGTTGCGTTGGGAAATTTGTGAGTGACACATTTCACAATTTTTAGCATATTAGCTAGTGACAGTCTGACGTTTGATAGACACCACAATGTAAGGTTACAATTGTGGTGCTAGAGTCACGTGAGCGGCTACTAGTAACGTCCCTTTTTTTCAAAATTTGCCCCAGCCAGCGCTATTACAGATACACGCTCGTAATGATTCGTGGCCATTTTATTAGAGTGGAGATATTTAAGTGTAGAGTCGCCAAGGATCAAATGGTGTTTTGTTGTTTAGTTGGTGTTTGGGGCGGCGACACGTTTTTAGTGAAGTAATGATAACAGTAATATGAAGTAATGACCACTGGGTCATTTGACGGCCTAGACCGATAGAACGCTGCATTATGTATCTTATGCATCATGTACTTTTAGCGCGTTGTCGTTGCAGGGTGTTGGGACTCAAATGTTCATATAAAAGATTTTTAGTTTAAGTGGCTGCCTTCTGTGTAATGATTAAATTTCCTGTCTACTAATTTTAGTGTGAGAATTGTGCTGTATTTGTTTCACCATTTTCTGATTTTCTTCCACAATGTTTTTAATACCTTATTGTATTTATATTTCAGTTGATGCTATGTGTTCAGTTTTCGTAAATTGGTTTCAAGCTTTTCATGGAGATGAAGAAATATATAATTGGTCTGAGCATGAAACGCAACTTTGAACACCATCCGTGCGATATTTATTGATGCAAAAGTAACCAAAGGGCGTATGCACATTCTACATTGTATAAAAATGGGCAATGCGTTCAAGATAGAGGAATTTAATGCCTTAACTATTGCGTCTCGAAATGGAGACGACAAGGAGGTATATATTCTAATAAAAGCAGGAAAAGACATAAATTATGTGGAAGATGATGGATGGAATGCCTTAATGATTGCATCTGAAAATGGACATAAAAAGGTGGTAGATATTCTTATTAAAGCAGGAGCAGACATAAAACATGTAGAAAATGATGGTTGGAGTGCCTTAATGCTTGCATCTGAAAATGGACACGACAAAGTTGTAGATATTCTTATTAAAGCAGGAGCAGACATAAATCACGAGGAAGATGATGGATGGAATGCCTTAATGATTGCATCTGAAAATGGACATAAAAAGGTGGTAGATATTCTTATTAAAGCAGGAGCAGACATAAAACATGTAGAAAATGATGGTTGGAGTGCCTTAATGCTTGCATCTGAAAATGGACACGACAAAGTTGTAGATATTCTTATTAAAGCAGGAGCAGACATAAATCACGAGGAAGATGATGGATGGAATGCCTTAATGATTGCATCTCATGTTGGACACGACAAGGTGGTAGATATTCTTATTAAAGCAGGAGCAGACATAAATTATGTAAAGCAAAATGGATATAATGCCTTAATGTTTGCATCTCATGTCGGACACGACAAGGTGGTAGATATTCTTATTAAAGCAGGAGCAGACATAAATTATGTAAAGCAAAATGGATATAATGCCTTAATGATTGCATCTCAAAATGGACACGACAATTTGGTTGATATTCTTATAAAAGCAGGAGCAGACATAAACTATGTAAAACAAGATGGATATAAGGCCTTAATGATTGCATCTCAAAATGGACACGACAAGGTGGTAGATATTCTTATTAAATCAGGAGCAGACATAAATCACGTGGAAGATGTTGGATGGAATGCCTTAATGATTGCATCTCATGTTGGACACGACAAGGTGGTAGATATTCTTGTTAAAGCAGGAGCAGACATAAATTATGTAAAGCAAAACGGATATAATGCCTTAATGACTGCATCTCAAAATGGACACGACAAGCCTATAAATATTCTTATTAAAGCAGGAGCAGACATAAACTATGTAAAACAAGATGGATATAATGCCTTAATGACTGCATCTCAAAATGGACACGACAAGGTGGTAGATATTCTTATTAAAGCAGGAGCAGACATAAACTATGTAACACAAGATGAATTTAATGCATTAATGATTGCATCTCTAGATGGACACGACTCGGTGGTAGATATTCTTATTAAGGCAGGAGCAGACTTTAACTATGTAAGACAAGATGGATGTAATGCCTTAATGATTGCATCTCAAAATGGACACGACAAGCCTGTAGATATTCTTATTAAAGCAGGAACAGAAATAAACTATGTAAAACAAGATGGATATAATGCCTTAATGATTGCATCTCAGAATGGACACGACAAGGTGGTAGATATTCTTATTAAAGCAGGAGCAGACATAAACTATGTAACACAATATGAATTTAATGCATTAATGATTGCATCTCTAGATGGACACGATAAGGTGGTAGATATTCTTATTAAAGCAGGAGCAGACATAAACTATGTAAAACAAGATGGATATAAGGCCTTAATGATTGCATCTCAAAATGGACACGACAAGGTGGTAGATATTCTTATTAAAGCAGGAGCAGACATAAACTATGCAAAACAAGATGGATATAATGCCTTAATGATTGCATCTCAAAATGGTCACGACAAGGTGGTAGATATTCTTATTAAAGCAGGAGCAGACATAAATTATGTAACACAAGATGGATATAATGCCTTAATGATTGCATCTCTAAATGGACACGACAAGGTGGTAGATATTCTTATTAAAGCAGGAGCAGACATTAACTATGTAACACAAGATGGATATAATGCCTTAATGATTGTATCTCAAAATGGTCACGACAAGGTGGTAGATATTCTTATTAAAGCAGGAGCAGACATAAATTATGTAACACAAGATGGATATAATGCCTTAATGATTGCATCTCTAAATGAACATTACAAGGTGGTAGATATTCTTATTAAAGCAGGATCAGACATAAACTATGTAAAAATGGATGGATATAATGCCTTAATGATTGCATCTCAAAATGGTCACGACAAGGTGGTAGATATTCTTATTAAAGCAGGAGCAGACATAAACTATGTAACACAAGATGGATATAATGCCTTAATGATTGCGTCTCTAAATGGACACGACAAGGTGGTAGATATTCTTATTAAAGCAGGAGCAGACATACATCACGTGAAAGATGATGGGTGGAATGCCTTAATGATTGCATCTAAAAATGGACACGACAAAGTGGTAGATATTATAATAAACTGTGGAGCAGACATAACTTATGTAGCGGAAATAGCTAAAGACACTTCATTTTTATGGGATCGAAAAAATAATTCTGAAGATTGCCTCATTACGTTTAGCTTAACAACGACTCTATTGTTGAAATTAATTGATGTGTGTTTTCTTGCATTTGAAAATAAGCACAAACATGTTATTGATATGTTATCATTAATGAACTTTAAAATTTTCGATAAAACAACATCAACAAAATTGTTTCATTTTTTAATATCTATATTTAAAAAAGGTATTTATAATTCATCAATATTATGAATATATATATATATATATATATTGAAATTGTTTAGAATTTTCTGGGCAAAGTTCCTTAGCCACCTCTAACACACATTTTTCCGTGGACAAAAACACCTTGCGGGACGTAGTTTGTAGACCCCTGATTTAGAGTATTAAGATAAATTACACCAACAATGATATCTTCTAGACATGTATATTAAGCTAATTTAATTGAACACGATGATCCATTGGCGTTGAATGAATTTAGAATCAGTACAGTATAAATATTTAGTGTGAAGACTTGTCATTATGTCATTATGTCTTGCCAAAACCAGAAACTAAATCCCTATCTTCACCCTTTACAATAATCTTCTTACAAACTTTTTCCAAAACATCTATCGTAAAATATATTTCATCCCCACCTTTAGTTGTATCGTTTACTCTAACCATTTCTTATAATTGCCCATTGCCTAACGCATGAAATTAAACCTTACCGTTAAACTAACTGTAACTAAATCCCTCTCTTAACCTAACTCTATCCCTACCAATGTTGTTATATATTTTTCAATGCGGTTCACTTTAGCATCTGTTCCAATTAACTAAAACTTTAAACAAATACTAATATACACGTAACACCGATTTAGAAATTACATTTTAAATTAGCTAAATGCCTGCATTAATGTGTATCAACTTCTAGAATTGAATAATCAACTATAACGAATATGTACCCTTGGGATCAGTATACTAATACATATCGTATTTTTATTAAATACACAGCACTAAAACAAGATGTACAAAACGACACCAAAAACGAACTGAGCGACTCAACCGTCAGTGCACAAAATGACGCAGATGTCCGCAACTTTGAAAGGTAAGTAATTTGTGTAGCTTACAGGAACATGTCTAGACATTTGCAACAAAGAACTGATACATTATAACTAACAAAAATTACATACGTCAATCACATATCACTTAAATGCATTACTTTTTAATAATGCTTGAAAAAAATATTTTTATATTGTTTTGAGAGGTATATGAAGAATATAGTCAAGTAAAAAATATTTTTAGTTTAAACATGTTCTTTAATTAAAAATCGAATTGTTGCATGTCTGTAACATTATGTAGTAAGGTGATACTTTTTGCGACAGTTGTTGATCTTGTCACAACAAAGATATATGTTGCACTTGTGGCAAACTGTTTGAGCTTAATGTGAATTTGCACCTGTCATTGCACTATTCCACGAGACTTAGTGTCCACACTGTTCAAGGATATCCAGGGTCCTTACTGGTCTTGTAGATCCAGGGTCCACCCTGGCCCTGGAGGTCTAGGCTCCACACTGGTCAAAGAGATCCAGGGTCCACACTGGTCCTGAAGATCCAGGGTCCACACTGATCCTGAAGATCCCGGGCCACACTGATCCTGAAGATCCAGGGTCCAGACTGGTTCAGGATATCCAGGGTCCACACTGGTCCAGGATATCTATGGCCCACACTGGTTCAGGAGATCCAAGGTCCACACTAGTCCACGAGACTGGGTGCCCACACTGGTCCAGCATATCCAGGGTCCACACTGGTCCAGGATATCCAGGGTCACACTGGTATAGGATATCCAGGATCCACACTGGTCCAGGAGATCCAGGAAGATACTCTGGATCACCAAGAGCATCTACTTCATAATATTCTTCACGTTGATTCACCTTTGATTTCGTAATGATTATTCTGAAACTAGAAGAAAAACAAGGTACTATATAATCACCAATGCTGATGTATAAAGTAAAAAAAAATAGTGCAAAAGTAGGTCAATATGCATAACGTTGCAGTACAGCAACCAACGTTTTTTGAAGATTTATTATAAATTATGAATTGATTTTCGAAATAACACATACAATATGTAATACATACCTTAGGTAGTCAGAAAAATATTTTTTTTTAAAATTCCAAAACCAGTTTATTCGACTTTGATGAACTTTGAAACGCCAACCAAAAATGCTGAGATAAAAAAACTTGTGACCATGCACACATTTGAGATCGGCTTGGTGGTAAAACAAATCTAGGTCACTTAGACATGCCCAAGCTGTAGGTTAACATTGTAGCAGTCAAATAACGCGATGCACATAATAAAACATGTTTAGGCTAATATTTTATGGGAAGGTAACTGTTAGTTGCAGATCTGTAGCGGTATGCATTTAAGGGATATATTCTAATACTAACCGCGAGACTTAATTCAATGTATATCTTTTCACATAGAAGGTACTAGACAGGTAAACTCATAGGCCTACTGTGCTGTGAACTTTGTCAATAAATGTAACGCTTCCCAATCACCCCGTGATCACCCAGTTGATTCCCATTATGGCAAGCTAACTTATTCCGCAGAACATAACCCCTTTAACATCTACCCTCTATTTTACCCATACGCAGTCTAATAAGTTAAAGTAGGATATTACTCGATCATGAGGATGTAGATCGATATTAAATTAAAGATCATGATCGTACTATTCTAAATATGAAGGCTTTAGAATGATTTGTTACATTTATATTTAGACCATTATGCAATTATCCACACCGTTGTTATCGAAGCATGTCAATGTTTTGTGTTTTTATTTTCTTGAGACTTTTATTACTTCTCATTATGTCGATTTTTAAAAGAAAAAAAACAAATACATCCAAACAAATATTACACATGTTGTGTATATATAATTTGTATAAAAACAGATCCATCGATTGCTATGTACAGATTGTTCTTCTCTCTCGCGACAATCAGGTAGGAAGTTAAATTGTTTTATTAATACAGAAACACACAATATATTAAGTGTTAATAGTGATTACGATTTATTTTCGTGACTGTCGTGTTACGGAATTACCGACTCATGAGTTGACCTCCCATAAGCCAGGGAGGCCTCGACGTAGTAAACTCCGACTAACTGGCATTTGTGGACTGAAACAAAGATATTTGTTTGAACACGACACGTTGGTCACGTTTCATCCGTAGGTTCTCACCAGGCTTGTCTTCCCCACCCACCAGGCGCGGTACGCCGTGTCCTACCACCTGGTACCCAGTTTGACCGTTGGAGGGGGAGGTTTAGGACCTTAAAAAATGTTAGGGACACATTGTTGCCTTCACGTACAAACCCGAAAGTGCCGGGAGGTCGACTTTTTCGGTCGGGTGCTTTTTTCGTTTCAGCGGGTGAGCTGTGTCTACGATAATACTTTTCCACTCTCCGCCCAATACAGGTTACCGGATGACCAGGCTAGCACACCTATAACATAAGGGTGGGGGGGGGGGGGGCATTGATCCGCTTTCCCCCTTCAGCTGACAATCAGGCGGTCTTGTCGTCAAAGTTTATATTAGTTATGATTTTACATTAATAGATCTAGATCTATATTAAATTTTAATAAGGCTATATTTTGTATTAAACAAAAACAACTCTACTTAAACCAACACTGATTGCACAGTTAATTATCTGCTCAGCTGTTGTATGGTTTAAATTTATTTCAAATGGTTAGTAATTATCAAAAACTAAGGGCTCCATTACAATTATTTAGTGTATTAAAGTAAATATATTGCAACTAAGACAACAGTGGCTCTTAGAATTCGTTATTAAGAGGTTTAACTGGAAAGAAAACCAGCAAGGAAAAATAGTTTTATCATATTTGGCATATAAAAGTAAGTATTAAACAGCAAAAAAAAGGATCGAAAACAATTTTGGTTGTCATGGAAACCCAAAAAACCTCCGCCATTTTGAATTTTTTGGTACTTTTAAAAATACTAAGGCTTTTTTATTTATGCACCTATAGCAATCAAATTTAAACTGCTTATATTTCAGTATATATTAAAACTTTTGTCACGACAACTGTTTGAAATAATTACTAGTAAGAATTTTACAAGGTCTAAACAATCGTACCCTTTTTAGTATTCAAAAGTTTAAAATTTGCATATTAATTACCAAATACTTTTTTCTATGAAAGCAATCACAATTCCCTCGTGACAAAAGTTGTATTTTTGCATCAAGAACAATTACTGAAAATATGGTTGGCATTGTTTAATAAATAAAAAAGTAGTAGGCTTTTTAGTGTAAAAAACATGCGAACTGAGAAAAACAGCCAAAAGTAACGAAAACTATTAGTTTATTAGACACATGAGAAATTCAGCTTTTCAATGATGTCAAATACACTATAATGACGGTTATAGAACTTTTCATAGAGAGCTTGTAAGATTGGGAAAAATTGATTATTTTTTAATTAATAGGTTAAAAAAATCGTAATTCAAACACATAAAATATTTTTTTCTCTTTAAGGTTATTATTTTCTTTATACAAAAATGGACAAAGTATCCAAAAGTGCAAGAAACCGATCATGACGAAAAACAAGAAATTTTGTGATTTTTTTCCGCGCATATCCCCTTAACATCAACAACAATACAACCTGTGGTTGATGTGATTGAAGATACCCAAGTACAAAATATACAACTAACCACATCATCTGATATGCAGAATCAAATAGTCGAGACTCTATAATAAGGTACTCCTATAGACATTTTAGAAGAGTCCCATTTAGAAGACGATAATGGAAACAAATCTGGAATATTCGAAAGATCCTTTTTGTT